ATATTTGCGCATATTTACTTGTTGTATTTGTATACAGTTGTAAATTCCATTAAATAAACAACATATATACACAATGAGTAGTAGAGAATCATTTTAGGGGAGAATACTAAAAATACTTCAAATACTTCAATCAGGCATATCTGATATGCCTGATTGAAGTTACTTATGATCTATTTATTCTATTAATGATTTCAAACACAGGTTTACATATGTATAACTAAATGAATGTTTCGCCGGCATTTCTAGCTGTCTCACTTCTCCTGGCTGCCTCCCTGGACTCTCCTGGATTGACGCCCAGCTGCCTCTGTGGACTCTCCAGTCCATGTTGCCCTCTCAGGCCATCTTCCTCGACTGTTCTGTCATCCCTCTCTATTTTTGTAGTTTTCTCTCATTGGCTGAATTTTCTTAGCTTAAGAGATGACCAGGCCCTCATACCGTACTCTGTTTCCTCTTTCTCGAAGGTGTTTTTCTTCAAACATGCACACGTTGTCGGTGCTTTGGTGTTCTGTCGGCCGTAAGTGTTTCCTTAAGGTATCCTTACGTGTTCTATTGCCGGTTACAAAAGGTTGCACTCAGTAGTGGGTCGTTACTATCCCTCAGGTGACCAACCGCCCAGGTGTTAGCACTTATGATTTAGACTTATTTATTCCTTTGAAATAATTAAATATACCCCGCATGCGTTCTTTAGAATACATAGCATAATTAAGTAATTTTTTTATTGCTATTATTTTATTTTCTCATTTAGAATGTACTGCGTGTTTTCAATTCTTGGTCACTGTTCTCAGAATGAGAGAAGAAAAAGTCACGTCACCGTTGTGACGTTTATAGCGACTGAATTGCGGAGAAGAAAATATTAATCTCTGGTATGTTCAACATTCACCATTAGTGCATGGTGAATGTCGACATTCTCCAGATTTCGGTGATTCACTGTAACACATATAGGTGATTATTTTACTTATCATGACCGAAAGAATTTTCAGTTGATCCACGGAAATGGATTTTCACATAGAACTAGGGATTTTTTTCAAGAACCTTATCTCACAAAATGAAATATGTCATTATCGAATTCCATGTAATAATCTCTCTAATCTTTGCATATCTTCAATGAATGATACAAAGTTGTTTTTGTAGTATTTTTTTTACAAGTAATTTAACATTGATTGATAATAACTTGAAAATAGAAAGAAGGAAATCATGTATGCATAAGGCTTTTGAGTGTAGGTGAACAGCCTAGTTCAAACACGAAAGTTTACAGAACTAAAGTCATCTATTTTATTTATGTGTAATGGTTTTGAATTATTGGAAATACAACCTTGTACCATCTACTTTAAACTTTTTTATAAATAACAATCTCAACTCATAGTTGAAGTTCATAGGGTGCGTTTATTTTGAATACTAAACATTTATACTACATTTTAATTTAGTGACTTTTTAAAGTGAAAACTTCGTTAGGAGGGATTTTCCCATTTGCTTCCTTGTGCTCAGAATCGAAAATTTCCACTCGCGTTTTAAGTTTCAGCCATCGAAGGATCAACTTTGGTTCGGTGTCTCTCTGTAGTCAAATCGATGTAACGGGCATATCACCTATTGGAGTTCAAAATCCGATTTTCATGAAATTTTCAGGAAATATGCGAGTTGGTGCCTAGATGGTATCATATCAATTTTATTAAATATTAACAAGCACTTCTCTTACGCATTTTTGTAGGCATGCCAATAATTCAGAAATATATTTTTCAATATTTTTCATATTGCAGCATACTACTGATATCAGTTACAGACTAAAAAACGCTGCAAATTATTTCACTATGGTTTATTATTTCCAAACAATTATACATATAAAGTAACCCCACTTCCGAGTTAAAAAGAAAAAAAAAAAAAAAGAAGGTGATTCCAATTATTGGATTAATCTGTTTTTTCCGATTTTAACGATTTTTTTTTTTTTAGAAAATTTCGTAAACTTTTAAAAAACTATATACAATATCAACAAAATAGTAAAACCTTTTCGAGTTATTCGGAATTTAATTTTACCATCCCTCGTAACTTTTGTCCAGCTTCTTTTCGTTAAAGTATGTTAAATAGATAAATTTAAAGGGCGTCGAGAAAATGACTTTAGCGAAGTTTCATTTAAATCTCTACATTTGTTTAGGAGCAACAGTCTATAGCAACGCAGGTTTTTCGGCCGCCATTTTGAAAGTTAAGGCGGAGAGTAATGTCGATGAAGGAGGATCATCCTCGGGTGACCTCTGATTTTATATCAAAATTTGAAAACAGTCGGTCCAGTAGTTTCGGAGAAAATACGCGGATGGCGGACGGCGTACGGCGTACGGCGGACGGCGGACGGACAAACAAGTTTTCGTTTTTCGAATTCTACGCAACCTGAAACGTGAAAATTTTGAGAGGGGGTTAAGTTTTTGAATTTTTTGGTCGATCACAATGGTTGCTTATTGATAAAAATAAACCAAAATGTCGAATATAGAAGAAAATTTGTAAATACCACTTTTTGCACTAAAAGTAGTTGTATATACTTAATAGGTATGTTTTTAAACTTAACATGGTTGGGAAAAAAATCCATAGGAACAATTCAACTTTTTGTTTGTTCGGAGTTAACGAGACCAATACTTTTCTTCAGTCAGAACAAAACTAATTTAAGCTGGAATATAAAAATATAAGTGAAGTTCTCACAGCTTTGATGTTTAAGGATGAAATGGAGAACACGACGAGCTGGTTGAACTTCAATAGAAATAAACACAATCATAAATATACTATTTTTTTTAACAAACTTAGAGTAAGAATTAATTTAAATTTATTGATAATTACACGAAATCTAAATAACGGCAGTAAGTATCATGCTAGTAACATTTGGAAGCGACCAAACAATACAGTATAAATTAACTTTTTGAATAAAACCTTATTTAATTTTATAACCTCATAAAAATATTGTATTAACTTAACCTCCATTACACATGAATAATGCCTTAGACATTTCACAGCTATTATACTGTAACAGTTATTTGTATTAATTTTAATTATTAATTGGAATTCAATGAAATTTATACTAGGCAATTTCTATAATGTTCTCCAAATTTCCTCCAAGTTTGAGTCAAATTGAACGAGTTGTTTTCAGACTATAGGCGTGTCAAATAATACGTTTACTGATCCGGAAGCGGAAGGATTTTTTTTTAGAGTAGTGGATATAAATATATAAAATTCATATTTACTTAATTATCTGTTAACCAATCCCTAACTTTCCTCCAAATTTGAGCCAAATCGAACTGCGGTTTTAGAGATATAGCCGTATCAAGGAATATACGTTTGCACATATATAAGAGAAAGTAGAGAACAGATTTCAATGAAATTGAGAATGCGTTATTTTTTTCTTAATACCTATCATTTTTCTAACTTTAAGCAAAATCGAACGAGCCGTATATCAATAAATATACGTTTGCTCGTGCGGAAGCGAAAGCGCTGGATGAAATTTTACAACCTCATTATAACACAATCATTGAAAATTGGACAAATGATAGTAGGTGATATGCCCGTTATATCGATTTGACTATAGACAGACAGACGCCGACCTAAATTTGATCCTTGATATATGAAATGGAAATTTTCGATTTTAAGCATACAATTTTTTCTGATGTCTCGCACAAACACAATGCTTCCCTACCTTCGGTAAAGACGAAGCAAAATAAAATAAAAATGTCTTGTGGAATGGCCGTCTTTCTACTTACTAGATAAAATGTAAACAATCGTTTTAAAATGTTTTTGTTTTTGATATTTTCCATCTTCTGTCGGTAACAAGTGAAATAAAAGTAAATTTTGGTTTAGCGCTATTTTCGCTGTTAGTGAAGAATAGAATAGAAAATTAAACTTTATTCTGGGACTAAGTCCCTTTAGAATAACAATGATGAGTTAATACAAAGTAAAGTACAAATCTGGCCAAAAACTAACTTCTAAAAATTTTAATACTATATAAATTATTTAAAAAGTATATAACCAGTAAAAAATAAAAAATAAAATATATATACAAATGAACATAAAATGTTCTCAAAATTTCTTAATTGTGATGAAAAAAAAAAGAAGAGAAATTACATATTTATATATACATAACTACACAATTTATAAACAATAGGCTATCTAATAGAAAACTAACTTAATACAAAATGTAATAATATCTACAGTGGTTTATATAATAATATGCAGACACTAAGATAAAATAAAATCTTAGGATACTTGTGGTGTAATGGAAAAAAATAAATAAATAAAAGGAACTATTTATACGTACATTCTCATATTGGCACACATAAAGACAAAAATATAAATATAACATATATACCCGAAAGAAAAAGCACAACCTGAGGAGAAGAGAAAAATAAATAAATAGTAAAAATAATAGTCAAACTAGGTGACAAAGATCATTGCTGTTTTATGTTAAAACTTAAACAGTAGGCACCACTATTTACTTCACGCTAATTCAGTTCATAAAATGAAATTTATGGTGGTAAATCTTCTGTTTGGGATGTAACGAGATATTGGAAAAGGAGGTATTTGAAAGTTGACTGGGAAGAGGCATGACGGATGATATGTGGCAAAGAATTCCAGTAAGAGACGGAGCGAGCTAAGAAGGAACGTTCATAGGTTTTTGTCCTGTGGAATGGAATATAGAGGTCAGAAACACGATATCTCGTTTTTATTGAGTGGACTAAGGGTTTAGGCTGGAGGAGACAACAGATATCGGAAGGGTGCTGGGAGTTGATCGTTTGGTATAAGAAATTTCCAAGGAAGTATAGGCGTAGAAGTATAGTAGTATGAAGGTAGGTAGTTTGTGAAATCTTTAAACATGCCTTGACCTAATCCCACCTTCATCCGCCAAACAAATCAGTTTTTGTTATTTCTATTATCAGTAAGAAGTACATGAGTTCTTATCATTAAGCCTTTTATCGCGACTTAAAATAAATATCTTTTGAACTGACGATTATAGAAAACTGGTTTTCACCAAAAAAAAAATATACATTTGCAATTACGAAAACAAGTGAATATCTTCCATTTATCAGAAGGTGATTAAGATATCGTCTTATTAAGAACTATATATAAAAGAGAATTCACCTTTCGAAATTACAGTCATGTTTACTTCATTGTTACTGATCGCTTTGTGTGGTTGCCATTTCGGGCACGCCCTATCCTTGGATCTTACTGGTCATGATGGACTTGCAGGTGATAGAAATATAAGTCCGGATGTCAGGTCGGAGAAGGAATCGATTGCTGAGAGCGGTAAAATGATGTGTTTTTTTTTTCACTTTATTAGGTTTATTTAAACAATGTTTTTTTTTTTTAATACTAATATCCACACATATTAATTAACTAACAAGGGACGCGGTGTCACCGATTTCAATGAAACTTTTTTCGGTGATACTAGGTCTGATATATAATAATATATTTTTTTTTTTTTTCGGTTGGCTCTACAATCTACTTGTAGCTTGCCTCTATTTGTAGATCTTTGGCCGCTTGAACCAGACTTGTCCACCTCTGCCTATCTTGGGCTACTGCCTTCCCGGTCAGACCGTATCTTTGTTTATCCTATCCTTTTTATTTATTTATTTTATTTTTTGTTCTTCCCTACTACGCCGTTTAGGCTATACGAGATTCCCCCTGGCCGGAGGGTGAGGGCAGGGGATTTAAAATCCTCTCCGACAACGGGACGCGAACTCGTACTTATTTTTGTCTCTCAAAACTTCGTATATCTGGTTATAATAAAAAAAAAAATTGTAAGGCAGTGGCAAAAGAAGCCTAGGTTTCACAACCGTACAGCAGAACTGGCCTAATCACGGCGTTGTACAACCTTATTTTTAGATTTCTGGAGCCTTTTCTGGATTCCAGTACCCTTAAAAGAGAGAATAAATAGTTGTTCGCTCTTGTTATTCGCTGGTCTATCTCTGTTAGTTGATCATTCATTGAGGTTGATGTGGAGGTATTTGAATCTGCCTACTTTCGGGAATGACTTAGAGTCCACGCAGATCATGTTATTAGGGTAGATGTTTCGGCTAACTATCATGAGTTCCGTTTTATCTCCATTAACTTGTACTCCGATTTGTTCTGCTTCTTTTAACAGAGTCCGAGCGAGTCTCTCAATATCCTCTTGATTACTTCCGAGGAAAGGAGGATCATAATGACCCTCGAACACAGCTCTAATATTTTTTTTCGACCTAGTATCACCAAAAAAAATTTCATTGGAATCGATGACCCCACGTCCCTAACCTCCCTCTCTCTTTCTAAGGCTTGACGTCGGCTTTGTATCAAATATCAGCTACTTTCATGCTCAAATACCATGAATGAGATGGATCATTCTTGTATTAATTGACCATTTAGTATTTTAGAATCTAAAAATGCGGATTAAAAAAGTTTAGCTTTGATAGTCAGTTTTCTTAATATAATGCTAGTTTTCTTTATTTCATTTTAAATTTTTGCTTCCTCAATACTGAAGATAGGGAAGTATAAGATAGGGAAATTAGATCCAATCGATGTAACAGGCATATCACCTACTACCATATATCCAATTTTCATGAAAATTTTCAGGGATTGTTCGGTTTGGTGTCTAGATTGTTGAACAAAAATGTACCAATTTCGAGATAGTGTAAAGTAAAGGGTTTGCAGCCACACAACCCCACATTAATTGCAGTGCTGCTATGGGACATGGATCTCATTTCGTCCAGTCGTCAGCTGGATTCCTAAGAACGAAAGACATATTTTCGTTAATTCTTCATCAAATCCAAAAAATATAATCACATAACCACGAAAAATCAGGGGAAAAATATTTTACAAAGTTTGTCCCTACGCAGGAGGCTCTCTTTTATAGTCAGGAATAGGATTCAAGAGTTCCTATTTGATTGGTGAGCCAAATTTGGCATTTTCTTCATTTAACTTCGAATCCATTGATCAAACGTAAATTATTAATAAGAATGAAAACATTGTTCATAGAATTCTACACAAAACGTGTGCTATTAATAATTTATTTGATTGAATTTCTGTTGGAGAGACTGCTTTTTAGTGGTTTTGATAGAGGAGTAAATTTGTGAAATCTTGTACTTGAGTTTAATATATTTTCTTCACCTATAACCGATGTGAGAAATGTGGTGAGGGAGGAAATTTTTGAATTAAGAGAATCTAATTCCTGTATAATCTCTCTTATTTTTAAATTTAACGACTTTTTTTGAAATTATATAAAGAATTTCGTAAATTGAATTTCAATATGGAAATTATTAAATCGGTACTCAATACATTTGGGAAAGATTTGGTTTGATCGACATTTTAAGAGAAAAATACGTTGCTCAGTTTTTATAGTGAGCTGTTTGTGGAGGTTGCCACAGCTGAGAACTGAGAACCATACACTTAAAACCATACATGAGTTCTAAGTGAAACTCCTAGCTGAACACACTTCCCTGAAGCAGACCTGCAAAGCCGGGTCGAAACGTTGGCTTTCAATAAAATAGTTTTACCACTATTTAGCCTATTTATGACCGCAACCCCGGACCATCTCCTTCCTTTGTAATGCAACGGTCAACTATTAAATATTCAATATGACTCAAAAACGACGGGGCCAACAACGGCCAGATACAAACTCAGCACTTTCCAGACTCCAAGGTAACATCAGATCCTCACCGCAGACTTTACCCCAACATCACCACATCCCAGACTCCCCACAGATAGCCTCACATCATTCGCCTACTCCTTCTTCATCACCCTCATCTCCTGGTATTCCAATTACGAGGCATCACACTGACTTCACTGAACCCAGTTGTCTAGTTATCTTTAATCTTCTTGAAACAAAATTACACCCAAATAGATCCAAGTTTAATAATTTAGCAACCTCCATGAACAGCTCACTCTAAAAACAGTGCAACGGATTTTTCTCTTAAAATGTCGATCAAACCAAATCTTCCCCAAATGTATTGAGTACCGATTTAATAATTTCCATATTGCTCCCTCATTAAAATTCAATTTAAGAAATTCTTTATATAATTTCAAAAAAAGTTTGTTAAATTTAAAAATAAGAGAGATTATACAGGAATTAGATTCTCTTAATTCAAAAATTTCCTCCCTCACCACATTTCTCTCATCGGTTATAGGTGAAGAAAATATCATTAAACTCAATTACAATATTTCACAAATTTGCTCCTCTATCAAAACCACTAAAAAGCAGTATCTCCAACATAAATTCAATCAAATATATCAACTTTCTCTGAAAAATAAAATTTACCCTATTAATAATTTAGTTAGTGCTTACTGGTTTCGAGTAAAAGTCCCCTTTCAATGTTCCATGATATTAGACCAAAAAAAGCCATTTCCGATGAATCGTAGCCTATAAAGTTTTGCTAAGTTAAGAACAGTTTGAAGCGCGCTTAACTAACAATGACTGTAGTAAGGCCTGAAAATTGTTTGGTTTTAGGATAAAATTGGATAGAATTTATAGTACAACTTAGAGTAAAATTTTTAGTGTACAATATATTCTACAAGAAAAGTATATTTAAATTAAATAGGAACGTGAGAGTTATCATTAATAATGGTCGGGATCATCTGCGATGAAATATTTAGTCTGTGGGCCAGACTCCCCTATCGTGCATGCCTTTCCCCCACATCACTATCGTTTTGTTCCTTTAGTCACTTTTTATAGTGAGAAAATCGGATTTTTTTTATTAATAGTTACAAAGAACATAATGATTCAATTTGACTCAGAGTTAGGAAAAAGGTAGGTATTAATAAAAAAAAATATGTTGTGTCAATTTTATTCAATTCTGTCCTCTACTTTCTGTTTATATATGCGCAAACGTGTTTTCTTTGATACGCCTATAACTCTAAAACCGCACGTTCTATTTGGCTGCAATTTGGAGTAAAGTTAGGGATTGCTAAATAGGTAATCAAGGATGTATCAATTTTATCAAATTCTATTCACTATCTCCAAAAAAATTCTAGGTTAGGAAATGTATTATTTGGCATGCATATAGTTTGAAAACAGTTCATTCGATTTGACCCAAATTTGGGACAAATTTGCAGAATAGTATAGAAATTACTAAGCATCAGTTTCATTGAATTCTATTTAATAATTAAAATTAATATAAATAATTGTTAACAATATAATAATGGCTGTGAAATGTGGAAGACATTGATCATCTGGAGGGGAGTTAGGTTAATAAAATATTTTTATGAGTTTATAAAATTTTAGATTTTAGTCAAAAAGTTAATTTACACTATATTGTTTCGTCAATTCTAACTGTTACTGGCATGACACTTACTACCGTTACTTAGATTTCGTATGATTTTCCATTAATTTAAATTAATAGTTACTCTTTTTTTTTTTTTTTTTTTTTTATTGAGTATTATAACAATCTGTCTGATGGACATTGGTTATAGTGAGGTAGGATGACATTCACACCATATGTACAAAAAAATAAAATAAATAGAACAAAATAATAATCAAATAGTTACTCTGAGTTCGTAAAAAAAAAAAAAGCCTTATTTGTGACTCTGTTTATTTATATTAAAGTTCAATCAACTCGTCGTGGTCTCGATTATCTCCTTAAATATCAAAGATGTGTGGACTTCATGCATAATTTTATATTTCAGCATAATTAGTTTTGTTCTGACTGAAGAAAAGTACTGGTCTCGTTAACTCCCAATGTTTATTTTTTCCTATGGATTTTTCGTTCCATCCATTTTACGAGTGAAAACATGCCGATTAAGTATATATCACTACAGATAAAGGTCATATTTAAAAGTTTTAAATTTTTATTCTATTTTTGACATTATATTGATAAGTAGACTACTACTATGGAAAATAGCACCTCCTGGAATGACCGCACCCCCCTATCAACTCCTTCTCATATTATATCACGGTCAACTATCTCTAAATCATTATAAAATTATACCAACAAATCTTAAAGAAATAATCAGTCTTTTATGTTTTCGTGTAAAACATTCAATTAATTTAAATTTACATACGACCTTTTGCGCTAAAATTAGCGATTCGCATATTCAGTATGCACTGGAATTATTTTTTTTAAACTACTAATCATCAAATATGGAATCTGAAAATAAGGAACTTTTTCGCATTTTATCATTTGCTGATAAACAATACTCGTGAATGTTAAGAGAGTAATGAATTTCCGAAAAAGTACTGAATTTAGACCTTTTTCCGCAAATGGAAATGGTGAGGAAGTTATACTGACCTTACTTAACAGATGATTTTTTTTGGTTCCTCCCCTTCCTTGCTTTTAAGGCTATACGGGGTTTTCCCGGGCCAGTAGTTGAGGGCGGGGATTTAAAAAGACTCCTCCGATACCGAGAGTCGAACTTGTGACCATTTTTACACTTTTATATATATATATATAAATATGTTTTAATAAGTAGAGACTGAATTTTCGTGCAGTAAAAACCCGAAAAACGTGCAGTAAATAACTCAAAATCGTTCAGTATAAATCCAAAATTGTGTAAATAACACGTAAAAACATGTAAAATCATCAATATTGTTAAATTTATAACATTAATACATCGAAATCCTATCAGATCTTGAGTTAACCAAGAGATAAAAAAAAAAAGAATTGAAACATAGATAATGAAATTCCAGATTTTAATCAACTATTATAATAAGAGCATTAAAGGTTTGAAAGAATAAACAAAGGAATGAATTATAGCTGCCTATGTATTTATTACATACACCAGAGCAATTTTAGATATATAACTTTTATTAAAAATAATGATGAAAACTTTATATTTTGATAGAGTTGAAGTTTCCAATGTTATACATTCCCAAACGTTTTTGTTAGAATTCAAAGAATTTTGAAATGGAATATATTGTTTGAGCTTTTCAAGTGTTCAAAAATTAGTGTTGAAGATGTTTTTTCGATACCATTAAAAAGTATATTTTTGGGGATTATATTCTTTCTAAAAAACATTGAAATCTTTGATAAGAATATTTTTTCTTAATTTTCCTCAATGAGCGTCTATCAGAGATTTCCTATCAGCCTGATTTTCCTTTCAGCAGCTTAATTTTTTTTTATAAGATTGAAATTTCTACAAATAAATTCGAAGCCAGAAGTGATACTGAAGGTTTGAATGTTGAATGAAGATTCAAGCCAAAACAATTACTATAAATGCCTTGCTAATAAAGAAGGCAATTCTAGGAAAGCAGCTTTTTATCATTCAATACTTTAGGCAAGTTCTATTCCAAGAATATATCTCACTTGTGTTTACTTCTTCCTTCTCATATTTTTTTGTATAATGAATTTAATTTGAACAATATAGTAAAATAAATATTAACACCCTCACCTATACATTTGAAATTATAAATCGTGTAATTTAGTACAAAAATGTGCAATTTGATGCAACAAAAATAAAAATCGTGCAATTTAAGCCAAAACGGCAAAACGTGCAATTTCGTGCAATATAAAATTTCAATATGTCATTCTACAAGTTCTGAAACGAATAGATGTTCAGCTCCGGAGCTTTTACATGAAAGCAAATAAAAAGTACAAAAACATTGAAATCCGGTCTCTAGTATTAAGGAAAGAATTGTGATAGTGAAAATTTTCGAATTTGAGTATTCAACGGAAATACACGGTTTGAGATCCCCGAGCTCAAATAACATAGTCTTCAAATAATAAATAATCTGTGTGTCTGAGTGTATGTGAGCACTAACTCAAAAACTAAAAGTCGAACGAAACTGAGTTTGCGTATTTAAGATAGGATTTGACTGTGATGGTACAGCAACTTTTCCCTTAAAATCGGCTAACCGGAAGTGGCATTTTATATCATCGATCTTACGATGATATCATTGATTATAAATCAAGACAATGCCATTGTTTAAAAAGCTATTTCATTGTATTTGTGTGAAAGAATACAAATATTTCATGAATGTTTATAACCTTAAATACATTTAATGTAGTTTAGTAACTCTAGATCTGGTATATATTATATTAATTAGATATCCATCGTCCGTTTACACCGAAAAATCACCATGTAACCATTCAAAAAAGTAAATTAGTATATAATATAACGAATTTTCCTTGTGTGAATTTCCAACATTATCCACTTGCGATTAATGTGATCACTTTTCACCTATCTATAGCAGGCAATAAAAATCTCGTAATTTCATTTTTAGTAAACTTTACAATGGAAAATAACAGTTTAATAACTAATAGTCCTACAATCCATATTCATTTATAGGTCGGATATAAATATACTATCCAAATATATGTACTTGGTGAAATTGCATATTTAAGGTTTTTATGTGCATGATATATTACAGCAACTTTCGACTTACAGTAACTTAACTTACATTAATACTGGAAGTGGCACTTTATATTATCGATTTAACACATTTTTACGATTTTCTCTAAAACGGCTCTAACTATTTTGAATAAATTCATTATATCAGTGTAAAATTAAGCATTTTTTAATATAATGTATGATTTATTTTCATTGATGTTCTCTAACAGGACTAAAACGGCTAATTTTCAATACCAGCTTTCCATAGAGTACCTTTATTTTTTTTTTATTTGTAAGAATTAAACATTTCACATTGATCTCTGATATAAAAAATTGTTAAATATAAAATATGAAAGAATTTGATGATTAACTAAAGGAGAAATAAAATATCGTAACGAAGAGTAGTTGTAATGTAATTTTTACTTTCACTTCCCATTTGTCTGCAAATTCGTATTTCTCCTAAGAGGGTTGTAAGTGAAAGTTGTGTGATGCGCACATCGCACCGGATTTTTTCTTTTTGTGTGGTGTTTATTATTTTTATATGAATCTTATTTAATGTAATAATTGTTTCGTTATGTTTAGTTTTAGCTGTAGATCCGAATGTGGGCATCATAAGAGGTCATCTATGCACTGAAGTAACATGTTGTCCTTATGATATGGCCTGTTGTCATGCAAACACGGGCTGCTGTAAACTCAATAAGTAAGTAGAACGAGTCATTTTATTTTATTTTATTTTCAAAAATTCCTGTATCTGACATAACGACAAAATTAACTTTGTTCTAGAGTAATACCAGCATCGGCGAGATTCTGCTGAGATGCGAATTCAAACAGCTGTCAGAGTCGTTTCTAAATAGTTTTATTTTTTTATCCGAGTTGATCAATTTGTATAGTTTAAAAAAAGTTGTTTTCAATTAATAAAAAGTTTGTTATAAAAAATCTTCTTCTTCAATAGGGCAACAACCCATTGAGAGTCCTGGCTACTTCCAACAGCAACCGTCTTACGTCTCTATTCTCTGCCGCTGCAATCCATGTCCGCAACATTAAATTTGTTCTTGCGTCATGAGCTACACAATCTGCAAACCGCAGCTTCGGCCTTCCAACTCTTCGGCGAATAAAAAGGAGCTCGTCGGCCATTCTGAATGCCCATAGAGGTCCATAATAAAGTACAGGACAAATGCGAGTCCTATTAGACTAATTTTTAACACATTCTTGCCAGTTCGTTTTAATTTTTGCCGCTGCCAATTTGAGATAATTTCATAACCCAGAAAAACAGAGATGTATTCCGACTCGAATCGTAGCTATATAACATCAATTATAGGCTATCAGTAGAATTTTTCTTAATGCCGAATAACTCCCCTATTTAAATATAATATTTTCAAAAATAAAATGAAATAATGTCTCAGAAGGCAGAAAATGGCGCGTTTTGCATTTTTTTTTTTTTTTTTTTTTGAAGGGAATTTATTAGATTGATCCGTAAGATTTCATTCAGATTAACGCTCGGGTAAAATCGGCTAATAAAATTGTTTTTATCTATGGATTACAATGCCTCAGAAACCAAAAATACTGGCCTGCACACCGTAAGCAAATTTTCCAGCATTTTATACTCTCTTTAATGGATTATTATTTAAAATTGTATTTTAACGCAGAGAGGCAAAAAGGAAAAAAATAGTGTCGAAAACCAAATGATAACGAATTGGAATAGAAGATATAGATTAAAATATCTCATAAACTAAAAATCGAACATGCATACTGTTAACGAGAGAAATTTTCAGCATTTCAACCTCTTTGTAATGAGCTTTTATTTAAAACTAGTAGGTCCGTGGGAAAAATTTGCACGTTGTTATCAAATGTCAAATTAATTACATTACTATGTACAAACTCGATAAACTATAGGTTTCAACAGACTAAAATTGTGGATTAAGATATAGATTGCTGACGACACTGGTATTTTTTCTTTCCACAAGATTCCTACTATCGCATCAATTGCCCTTCAAAACCACATCTTCGATCTTCAAAAGTGGTTTGAGAAATGGAAAACATAAAATAATTAGAAGTTCCATTAACATAAAATTACAATCAGTTCCATAAAAAAAAAAAAAAAAAAAAAAGGGAACCTTAGACTTAACTTAATTAGATTAAAGACTTACCTGGCACATAGATACTAAATTTAAATGATTAGAACTGACTAGACGATATAACTTTCCATTTTAGGCTATACTAGGTTTTCCCGGGACGGGGGGTGTTTATAGTACTTTTAAAAACGTCTGCCAAGTAAGGTATAGCTTCCTCACCGTTTCCGTTGTATGTTACAAGGTATACAATTTTTCGAATGAGAATAAAATCTCTGAGAGAAGCAGAATCGGAATAGCTGATTACAGTTACCCTTCAACATTCAACAACAGAGGGTCGTATTTGAATATTCCATACTTAATTATGCTTAATAAAAAAATAAATAAATAAAAAAAATGCATACTGAACATGAATTTCAATACTGTTAGTTCAAAAGGTCTTATGTATAAATTTATTTATTGTTTTACAAGAGTGCATAAAAACTCAATATTTCTTTATGCTTTATTAGAATAATTTCATATTTTATTTTCATCTGCTATTTTCCATAGTAGCAGACTACTTATATCAGTTGCAGACTACAAAATATCACCTTTAATATACATAGAATTAAAGTTGAAAATTATTACATACGAACTTATGCTCTAATAATAGTATATACATTACCGAATCAAGATTTAATTTTGGAGGAGATAATTAATTTGAAAAAAACACTGAAAATTATTTCTCTTTGGTATATTATTTCCAAACAATTATACATATAAAGTAACATTAAATTTCTAGTTATAAAGAAAAATAAATAAAAGGTGATTCTAATTATTGGACTAAAATCTTTAGTAATCATTAGTAATATGATAAAAAAGATAGCATTACTTCAGTAACACATTCAGAAATCAAAAAAAAGATAAACCTTTTGCAATAGCACATCTAAAAAAACCTAGAGACGATATCTTTGCTCCTAATTGTCTGATTTTGACGATTTTTTTTTTGTTTTTTAAGAAATTCCGTAAACTTCTAAAAAACCATATACAATATTGACATAAATGTGTATACTTCTTGAGTTATTCGGAATTTAATTTTACCATCCCTCCTAACTTTTTTTGAGCTTCTTTTGAGAAGTATGTAGTATAGATAAATTTAGAGGGCGTAGAGAAAATGACTTTAGCGAAGTTTCATCAAAATCGGTTCATTCGTTTAGGCGCTACAGTCTATAGCAACGCAGGTTTTTCGCCCGCCATTTTGAAACTAGAAGGCGAATAGTAATGTCGTTGAAGGAGGATGATCCTCGGGTGACCTCTGATTTTATATCCAAATTCGAAAAAAATGGGTCTAGTAGTTTTCGAAAAAATGCGCGGACGGCGGACGGCGGACTAGTTGTGCACATATAAGAGAAAGTGTTGGACACAATTCAATGAAATTGACACTACATTATTTTTTCACCAAAGTCTACCTTTTATCTAACTTTGAGCCAAATCGAACGAGCCTTTTCTGAAATATTGGCATATCTAAAAATATACGTTTGCGCGTGCGTAAGCGGAAGTGCTGGGTGGAATTTGATAAAATTGATATGGGACCATCTAGGCACCGATCAGCAAAATCCCTGAAAATTTCATGAAGATTGGATGAACGGTACTAGGTGATATGCCCGTCACATCGATTTGACTACAGACAGACAGACAGACAGACTGACAGACATACAGACAGACTGACAGACATACAGACAGACAGACAGACAGACACCGAACCAAATTTGATCCTTGATGTCTGAAACGTAAAACGCGAGTGAAAATTTTCGATTCTGAGCAAAAACATTTTTTTAATTTCTCGCACGAACACAATGCTTCCCTACCTTCGGTAGTGAGGAAGCAAAAATTATACAAAGTAAAATAAGTATATACATATATATATATATATATATATATATATATATATATATATATATATGCAAGCAACAACACATAGACAATGGAAATTTCCGTCTGTTGAGGTCTGTGTGTAATTAATAATAAATATTTGTTACACTTATAACTAAAATAAGCGAGTAATAATATACCTACAGTATTATTATATACTACTAGGCACGTGCGAAAAATTGGCACAGCATATTGTTATCAAATGCCAAATTAATAAGAAAATAAAATAATGCAACGTATTAAAAGATAAAGAAATCAACTGTTACTTTATCTAATATAATCGACAAAGAAAACAATAATTAATTTAAATCTTCATTTTTGGTTGGAACAAACATATTTACAAATTTCAGTAAGCTAAAAATTGTCGGATATCGGTGATTTTTTTTCCTTTTGTAGGGAATTTAGTAATATTTTATATAATTATGGGCATAACCTATGTATAACATAAGGCATAGGGAAAAGTGATTAATTTTTTAGTTATTCGCAAATAAAATTTGTTTTCTTTCATAACTTGTTAGCCTGAATTTTCGGGGTGATTGGACAATTTTGCCCGCCTGAAGGAAAAGGGAGCCTTCGAAATTGGTGGCTCAATCTTGAGATTTGGTGAAAAATTAAAGATGACATGGCTTGCCGATCAAAAACACCATCGATAAATAATATAAACTCCTCCTCTCTCGATCATAGAGACCTCAAGCCGACGAAATGAGACATGTATTTAATGACAGTACTACGATTAATGTAAGGTTGTGTGTATGCGAACCCTATGCCTTGCGTTATCTTGGAAATAGTACGTTTTTAGACTTAAAACGCAGAATCCAATAGTTCCGGAGGAACTATCCGGGTCTTGCTGTATGCATCAAAATCTTCAAGATCCAATTTGTCCAACCAACAAAAACGATTTCGAGCCTTACTGTAATAATATATGTGGGAATGGGGATGGGGATTTATATTTTTAATTTCCCCTTGTTGATGTTTTCACTTCAGTTCAGCACACACCTTGTTCTTTTCTAATTAGATGGATTCCAAATACTACTTGTTAATTTATTTCAAGTACTTGAGTGACCATCTAAAGATAACGGCTATCAAAACGGGTATTAAAAAGGTAAAGAACATTGTGCATAATATTACATCCATCCATATATTACGCGTGTAATCCTGGTCTATTGCCTCAAAGTACCTAACTCTAAATCATGTACGGAGTGAAAATTATTGAAAAAAGACCAAGAGAAAGGCCTTATCAGAAGTAGAAAAGGATTCTATTTAGAAAAGAAATTATCACAAGGGAAAAAAGAAGTGAGGAAGTAGACGCTGAACAATAAATAAATAAAGCCAGAGGATCGTAGAAAACTTCTGAAAAGAAGTTGAAGCAAACAAAGATCCGGAAAATACTCCCTAATTTTGCAAGGTTAGATGTTTTCCAAGAAAGGTGTGAGCCCCATAAAGTCGCCTACTGTGTCGCTATCTTTCGGTAGATTGGAAACTATTATCTTCATGAATGATTGTAGCAGATTTCGTACAGAGTGCACTGCCTACCACATTTCGCAACTGTTATTTATTTATTTTAATCTTATCTAATTTTAATCTTCTAATCCATTTACAGCTGTGAAAAGTAGTCTATGTAGCAAATTTTATTGGGTTGTCAAATATGAATAAAACTTGAATTTAATCAACAATATATTGACCATTATTTAATATGAATTTGTCCCTTCTTTCCATTAACTACATAATGCCATGTTCATAGAATGTCTGGAGTTTATTGTTAAAATACTGATCCAAGGTGTAGAGCCTAGTGTTGTCTTGGTGGAAAACAACACCCATTCGATCATTCACAACTCTTCAGGGTGTTCTCTAAATTCAATGTTTCTATATCCGTTAGAAAGCTTTTTCAAAGCCGTATGGAATGCTTTTTTTATTTAATGCCTACTTAAGGAATAAATAAATAAAAACTTCTAATAGG